CGGGGTGAGGGCCGGGGGAGGGGAAGCCCACCCGGGGCACCAGCCGGGGTGAGTTTGAGGGCCTCGCCGTGCCTGGCTGTGAGCCCCGCAAGGAGAACGCAGGAGCTGCTCCCGGGCCCGGTTCAGAGATGTGGACGCCCAGGCCTACAGAGGCCGGTGGCGGGGGCGAGCGGGTGCCCGGTCAGGGCCGCTGCGCCACATGTCATGCTCCCAGGCACCAGCCGCCACCTGCTCACAAGGGTGTGTTGTGGCCCAGGCCTGGTGGGCTGCGGACAGTCCTTGGAGCTCCTCTGACCTGGCTTCCCCCTTCTGCCAGGCTCCCGGCTGTCCCCAAGCGCCCCGAGGAAGAGCACGCGGCGGCGGCGCACGGTGTTCAGCGCACAGCAGCTGCGGGTCCTGGAGGAATTCTTTGAGGGGAAACCCTACGGCACCTATGAGGAACGCGAGACCCTGGCGGCCAGGCTGAACCTGCAGGGGTACCAAGTGCAGGTACGGCCCCCACGCCCACCCCAACCCGGGCAATCACCCCACTCGCTCCCACTGCCCGCTGCCCACCGGCCAAACCATGCCCTCTCCGGCCCCCCCCCCCCCCCCCGCCTCAACCACCGGCCCATAGTTGGGTCTGGGGGCGGAGGGAGAGGGGGAGGCCGGCCCTTCTTCCCGGAGCCTCCTCAGCCCTGGGCGCAGGCGGATGTGCCCAGCTTCTCCCCTCTGACACTTGCTCCCTGTCCCCTCTCTCCCCAGGTGTGGCTCAAGAACCGCAGGGCCAAAGACCGCAGGCTGCAGCGACTGCGCGGGCAGCAAGGCCAGGGAGCCCACGCTGCGCCCCAGGAACCGGCAGTCTGCGCCCCTCAGCCCGCGCCTGCGCCAGCGGGCCCTGCATCCCAGCAGGACCCTGTGCCCACTGCCAGCCCTGTGCTGCCCGCCACACCTGTGCGCCCTGAGGAGCCAGTGTTCCTGCCCGGCCCTGTACTCCTCGCCCGTCCTGTGCTCCCCGCCGGGCCTGTGTTCCCAGCCGGTCCTGTGCTCCCCTCCGGCCCTGTGTTCCCAGCCGGTCCTGTGCTCCCCTCCGGCCCTGTGTTCCCAGCCGGTCCTGTGCTCTCCCCCGGCCCTGTGCTACCCGCCGCCCCCCTGCGCCACGGGGGCCCAGGTTTCTGCAGCCTCCCTCCGCACATGCCCTTGCAAGTCTTCCCAGCAGCACATCCTAGTGCCTCCAGCTCCAGCCAGGCCTGCTGGGACCCCGCGCAAGGCGTCCAGGGCACTGTCCCCGCTGCACCTGCTCCTGCTCCTGCTCCTGCTCCTGCTCCTGCTCCTGCTCCTGCTATAACTACGGCTCCACCTCCAGCCCCAGCTCCAGCTCCAGCTCCAGCTCCAGCTCCAGCTTCAGCTCCAGCTCCAGCTCTAGATCCAACTCCAACTCCAACTCCAACTCCAACTCCAACTCCAGCTCCATCCGAGGCCACACTCTCGTCTCAGGGCCCCGACAACGCCGGGAATTTCTCTTCAGACCCTGATTTCACAGACCTGCTCTCAGCCTTTTGCTTCTTGGAGGAGCCCTTGTCCTCCCCCAGGCCCTGGTACGACTTTGTGGGTGACAGCGACGTGGACCTCTTCCAGTTACTGGATCCCTAGGGAGTGTGTCCCCGCCAAGTCCTGCAGATGCGGCGGGGCCAGAGGGCACCCGGGTGTGCGCCCACGCGGGGGCGAGGAGCCCCGGTCAGTGCCTCTCGGGTGCCAGTGGCTCTTCTGCAGAGTCCGCGCACCTCTAAGCATCCATCCTGGGGAGGTGGACTGGGCTCTGCCCCCCCAACACCCTTTGGTGGCCATCTGCGCAGGCGCGTGGCGGCGGCGGGCCAGAGCTGCTGAGTCCGCGGTCCAGGCGGAGCCCATTAGGGCGCACCTGACCTCGCTGAGGGTTCTCAGGCCTGGGACCGCAAGACCTGCTGCTGCTGCGGGATCCACTGGAGAGCTGCTGCCCAGAACCTTCCCAAGGACCCAGCCCAGCCTCCGCGCTCCTCCTGGCGGCGTGCTCTGGCGCCCCTACGACTGGGCGCGCTTTCCCAGTGTGCGCACCTGGGACTCGCGGCTTCCTGGTGCTTTTCCCATCGCATTCCCTGCACTCGGAGAATTCGGCCCCTTCTCGCCGCATCATTGGACACCGGGAACACTCAGCACGTGTTGGGGCACTTGATTTTATTTTATTATTTCTTTGCTCATTTCTCTGCATTCAAGGGAATTGATGCTATTTCTCCACAATAAACTCCTACAAACATCGGTCCCATTGGTATTTTTTTATCAGTAGAATTTCTGGATGTTAAGGACTATTTCAGTGCTTCTCCTTGCCTGTTACATATCTGTTTGTCCTTTCCATTCGTGGCAAACGGGTGCCCTCAAACCTAATGAATTTATTAATAAAAGTTAAAAATGACCTTGACCACGTGTTTCATTTTCAAATGGACATAAAACCCTATAGAAGCCCTGTCCGCTGTCTCTGCGATCCCCACTGTAAACAGTCCTTGAATACATGTGGCAGTGATGGTGTGTGGTGTGAGGTAGGGCTTCAGCTTCGGGGTGGTGTGTGTATGTGTGTGTGTGTGTGTGTGGTGTGTGTGTGTGTGTGTCTCCTGGATTTTCAACCTCCCATGTAAGGAGAGGCCACTCATTTGTCCTAAGCCAAGTGGTCCAGGTAACCGCACGCCAAAAGTCTACAGGACGTACACTAGAAACAAGAGAAAGGAATTCAAACGTAGCACTACAGA